GGAATTAGGATAACATTTCTGCAAGGTAGGACATTACGCGAAATAGGATATTCTGCCAAATAATATTCCGCTTGATGAAATAGGTTACCCCGTAAATCGCTATTGAAATGCCACTGCCGTCAAACTATCGGGCGCCTTGATTATGTTGAGCCGATTCTTTCAATTAGTAATGGATGAAATGGTTTTGCAGAACATACGTGTATACCACATTTTTTTAACCATGTCAAACAGTGGAATTTAAATTGAAGATTAATTTAAAGGGTCTACTTCAGAATTTCTGCCCTTTCATTCCCTTCAATGTCACAGTGTCCAGGAACCCAATATAAGTTTACTGAGTTCTGTTTGCACAGCTGTCGCAACAACAGAATACATTCCCAGACAATCTTTGATGTACATTTGTACGCATGAAGCGCTTTTAGTGCTTCTTGACTGTCAGAAAAAATACAGATATTTGCACATCTATATTTTCTCCTTAGGCAAACACTTACACATTCAAGTATGGCCACGATTTCCGCTTGAAACACTGCTGGACAATGTCCCATCGCTACTGAAATATTTGTTCCAGGGCCAAAGATTCATGCACCTGTTTGTGTTCCAATTTTTGAGCCATCTGTGAAAAATATGATTGAGCCTTGACGAACGCTAGAACCACCGACTTCCCAATCCGAACGCAACATTTCACATACGTTGAAGGGAGTGTCATAATTGTCCTCTGGTTTCATCCAGTCTCCATTCATACACGCAGAAAAATGGATTTTTGTTTCAGGGCCTAATGTATTTTTTTATTGATTCAAACATATTGTATCACTATTTCAACGAAACATATTTTTGAATCAACAAACAGATTATTGACTCTACAACCGGTTTGTTGATTCAAAAATATTTTTCTTTGGATTAACTGAATAATATATTTGAATCAATACCAAAAATATATTAGGCCCTGAGCCAAAAATATATCCATTTGAATTTAAAAATCATTTCTCTGTGTGTACTCATCACTGGTCCTCTTTGGAAGTATTGTAAAATGCTTAGGTGATCAACTAGGTCACCAGGCATGACTTTTTTAGACCTTTTGAGCCTTAGAGCACTTCTTTCCACTTCTAGTTGCACGTATTCATGCAAGGGCAGTAGATTGAGAATTGCATCTAACGCTTTTGATGGGGTGCTGCGCATCGCACCCGTTATAGCAATACATGCTAGACGTTGTAGTTTTGCCAGCTTCCTCTGTGCGGTAGCCTCTTTCGTTTTTGGCCACCACACTAACGAAGCATAAGTTACTTTTGGATGGATTACTGATGAGTAAATCCACATTGTCATTGTTGGTTTCAAACCCCATTTTCTACCAACAGTTTTGGAGCATAACCACAGGTTGCTTTGTTGATCACAGAATCAATCTGAGCATTCCCAATCCGCATCGTGCTCTCTTGCCGTGCGGATCTACTTGCTTTTTGCTTAAGGAAGTGTTACTACTACCTAAAGCTACGACAAATTTAAACAGCACTTTTCAGTGCTCAACCTGTAAAAAAGTTTACCTTTTTCAACTCTTATTCCTCTTCGATTCTTGTTTGGACCCTACCCGAGGTAATCCTTCTTGGATATCGATTTGGAAAATTCCTCTTCGACTTCCTTCAGATTCTTATAGTAATCTGCTTGGAAGTCGATTTGGATAAAAATTTACTGCCGCCATGGCGCCTAAGCGCAAAAAAAAGGGCAAACTCTTGATCCCCCTTCTGATGAAATTAACTTGAGCAATCAATTTGATTTGCTCACGGATGATGAGAATGATCCATAATCCAGGAAAACTTCTAGTAAACTTTCCCGGCTTAATGCCAAGAAGGAAAAGATTCCCCCTAACCACTTGCGATTTCCATGCTCTTTGCATGTTACTTTTGAACTTCGTGAAAGTTAAGTTTTCACTACAAATTAGACGTCGGGGTGAATGCAGTGTATTGGCTTACTGAGAAGCAGCACAAATTTTGTACTTAAGACACCAAAACTGAACGTGTGTTCAAGGTTGTCATGAAAGGACTGCCCAGTGGTGAATCCCTGGATCAGATCAAAGATGAACTGGCTAAATTACTTGGAGTTGTGCCACTTCAAGTAATCAAAATGAAAATGAAATCCCGTCCTGGCGATTCGCGCAACGGGATTTCTAATGATTTTTATTTAGTTCACTTCAAGTTTAGTGAACTAAACAAACTTAAGGCCTTAGAAAAAGCTAGCCTTATGCTCCATGTCCGAGTGAAGTGGGAACACTTCAGGAAGACTGGATGAAATTTCCAAAACCTCACTCAGTGCCGTTAGTGCCAGGGATGGGGCACGGAACTAAAAATTGCTACATGGCAGCTAAATCCATGAATTGTGGTGATTCCTCTTACGCAAAGGACGAATGTTCTGTGAAGGAAGATCCTAAGACATTTAAATGTTCAAATTGTGGTGAAAACCACAAATCCATTTTTTGGGAATGTAAGACTCGCAAAGCGATCCTACAATCTCGTTCTAAGCGACAGGTAGGAAACGCTCCACGTTTCCGAACAGGTACAAATTCCTCTGCTGTTAACAACGGTCAGCGAGGAACAAATTCTACATTCGTACCCGTAGGTACAAATATCACCCCTGCTTCAAATTTTTCATCTATACCTACTCCCCTCGCTGCTAACAATGTTCAACGAGTAAATGGAGCTACCTATGCTGCTATTGCACCGGGTAGAAATTAAAATACTAACCAACGTAATTCTAATGGAAATTTTGAAAATTTTGACTTCGGAAGCATTATTGCTTCTAAAATGGAATTTTTACAGAAATCATTAATTGACATGATTGCTGATATGCCATGTTTGAAGCTATTCAAACTGGAGTAGAATTTGCGAACAATATTGTCATGACTTTGAAATTCAGTAATGGATTTTAAATCATTAAATAGTTTAAATTGGAATGCTCGAGCTCTTAAAGATAACGAAGACGAGTTATTTAACTTTTTGAGAGTTCATATTTTCGTTATAACTGAAACGTTCCCTAAACCTGACGATAAGGTTAAGACGGACGCACATTATTTTATTTATAGAAATGATCGTCTTGATGGACCCTGTGGTGGCGTTGCCATCATTGTGCATAGACGAATCAAACATAAAATTCTTTCTTCATTTGAAACCAAAGTTTGTGAAACTTTGGGAGTTTCTGTTGAAACAAAATTTGGACAACTTACGTTTATAGCTGCCTATTTGCCATTCCAATGCGTAGGCCAGCAAAAGAATTTTCTCAAGGGTGACCTCCAGAAACTTACCCGTCATAGGTCTAAATTCTTCATTATTGGTGATTTTAATGCAAAACACCGCTCATGGAATAATGCTCAAAGCAATTCCAATGGTAATATTCTGTTTGATGATTGTTCTGCAGGTTATTACACTATTTAATACCCAAATAGCCCAACATGCTTTTCTTCTGCAAGAAATCCCTCAGCTATTGATTTGGTCTTAACTGATTCATGACGACTTTGTAGCCAATTGGTTACTCATGCTGACTTCGGCTCTGACCACCTTCCAGTAACTTTTGAAATATCCCAAGAAATAATTTGAAATCCCAACAGCTCTACTTTCAATTACCATAGAGCGGATTGGGAGCAATATCGAACATTTATGGAATATAACTTCGATCCAAACATTCCTTTTAAAACCAAAGATGAAGTTAATTATGCCCTTGAATGTCTGACTACTTCTATAGTTGAAGCAAGAGCTGCCTCAGTACCAAAATGCTAGGTTAAATTCGATTCAATTATAATAAACGACGATCTTCAGCTCTTGATCCGTCTTAAAAATGTCTGTATGAGACATTATCAAAGAACACGCGATTCTGCCATGAAAGTTATCTGGCGGGATTTGCAAAAACAAATTAAAAAGCGATTCTCTGTCCTGAGGAACAAAACTTTTGAAAATAATGTTTCTAAATTTGACCCGAGTTCCAAACCCTTTTGGAAACTCACAAAAATTTTGAAAAAAAAGCTCAAAAGCCTATTCCAGCGCTTAAAGAAGGTGGTAAAATTTTGATCACAAATTCGGAAAAAGCTCAGAATTTCAGTTTGGGTCTTACTAGTCCTATTGAGAATCAGGTTGCTCGGGATTATCTGAATATTTTTTCTCGGGAAAATATTTTTGATGATTCCTGGGGGACTGATTTGGACGAAGTAAGGTTTATAACTAAAAAGTTTCAAAATATGAAAGCTCCAGGTGATGATGGAATTTTCTATATCCTCATCAAAAAACTCCCAGAGAGTACCTTGTCTTTCTTGGTAAAATTATTTAACAGATGTTTCCATTTGGCATACTTTCCTGATAAGGGTCTGTTCATAAACTACGTAGACAGTTTTTTTTAATTCTTGACCCCCCCCCTCCCCCTGCGTAGACAATTGTCCATACAAAAAATTTAAAATTTGTATGGGCCGTGGATAATTATCAACCCCTCCCCCCCCTAAACTGTCTACGTAGTTTATGAACAGCCCCTAAATGGAAAAATGCAAAAGTTGTTCCAATTTTGAAGCCGGATAAAAATCTAGCTGAAGCTTCTAGCTACCGTCCAATAAGTTTGCTTTCTTCAATAAGTAAACTTTTTGAAAAGATAATTTTAAATAGAATGATTCTTCATATCAATACGAACTCAATTTTTGCAGATGAGCAAAAAAAAAAATTTTTTCACCCTGAGCTGATAATTTTCTGGGACGATTATAGTACAGTGCATATTTTCAGTAATTTGAAACTTGTCGAAATTATTTTAATTTGCTGATCAAAGAAATATCAGACACCTGGATTTTTTTTTCTAAATATCGTACGATTCAATCACACATTTCCAAATTTTCATTATCAGTGCAATGACAGTAAGAATCAAATTTTTTTTTCGCTGGCCTGAACCTGGCAAGATGGGCTCATTTTCATCCATTTAAAGTTGCGGCCACACTGAACTACTATTCCACCCATTAATTTCACCACTCCCATTTGCGGCATACTTACACGTGACATGATCGAAAAGTTGCTCCGAAACTTTTGAAAGTTTTCCAACAGATAAATCCGACACTTTACACAGAACTGCTCAAAGTAATCACTTCCCAGCGAGGTTCGCCTGAAATTCCCTTTCGGTAATCCTTGGCTATCTGGATGCCACCTTTGCCCAGCTCTTCTTCCACGTTCACCACTTGCTTTAATCCCAGCACTATTACTACTACTGCCCAGCACTAGCCGTACACCACCGGAATTGTCACTGCAATCACTCCAAGCGGCCGGACCGCTAGCCGGAAGTTCCACCAGGCGACCAATTTCCGCCTCCGGTTCCAACTCCGACGCAGGACTCACAGACTCATCAATCAGCAAAAAATCCAGCAAGTGACTACTATCGACCGCTACCGCTGCCACTATCCGAAAACAACCTTCCGCACCGGTTGACAAACGACGAGGAACTGATGGCCCAAGACCGCGACGGCGACCCACAGCAGGAGGCTCGTCCCGTTGGAAGTTGTTACAGAAGATAATTTGTTTATCGTTCACCTTGGTAGCGCAGCACAGTTCGCTAATTTCGATGAACACCACCTTCACGTCCCTGCGGCCCGACATGCGCCGTTCCTGGGCGACAAAGTGCTTCAGCAGGTCCAACGATCGCTGGATGTTGTTGTGGTTGCTACGCCGTGGCGGTGACGTTGTTTGCCGTTGGTTGGCAACACTGCTTTCACCGGAATGAATACCTCGTCGAGATCTGGCACCGATATGGGACGGCACCACGTGCTCCAGACCGTCTTCGTCGTCGTCGTCGTCGTCGTTCTCGTTTTGCTGGTGGTACAATCCGGAACGTTGTTGGAGGGGTGATGTACGAGGGGAGCAGTTGGCCATGCTTGTCGCTTCTTGAAAAATGCTCGCGAAAGTAATTTAAAACTTTACCGTCCTCCTTTTTGTGGGGGGAAGTTTCTGAATGTTTTCAACGCGCGTGGCACGAAATTCGACTTTTCGAAAAACCCGAAAGTATGTCACGTGTGAGAGATTGGCGTAGGAAGTTTTCCGAGGAATGCTGCAACTCAGGGAAGATCTGGGATGATTTTTTTTTGTGGGTGAAAACGGCGACCACACCGAAGGACACACTCGAACGGAATGGCGAATGGTCTCCATTTCCAGGATCAAGGTGTGAAAGCATTTCCCGTACGGAGGCCTTCGATGCATTAGTGCTATTTTGAAAGCGAAGGTATTTTAATGATAAATTAGAATTAGATTGGAAATGTTACGGTGCCCGAGGGGTGCAACAACGTGCTAAGTAACTTGTATTGGTTTCCAAACAGTGAAACCACTCAAATCTTGAGCTAGGGCCCCTCGGTGAAAGTTACCGTTTTGCATTTACGTAGGGCGGGAGGTAACTTTGGCACCAGTGATGAATCAGCAGATAACAATGACACGTACCTGTCTGCTAGTCTGGCTACCCAGAAGCGAAATCTGCATACCTCCGAATGTTGAATTCCACCGTTGTGATCAGGAGCGTCGATTCGGTACGAATATTGTGGGGGCAAAGGTTATGAGCAATATTTGCGTTCCTAGAAACATATTTCCAGGTCAAGTTAGATCAACTTCCCATCGTTCAACGATTCAAGGCAACTGCAACAAACCGAAAATCTGTTCCACTTTTGTATCTGCGTAAGTAATATAACAGTCCTAGGCATATTTGCGTGCCGAAGCAATCGATGGTTTCAAATGAGCTAGGTTAATAGATACGATTTGCATGTCGTGAAATTTTATCGCTGCGTGTGTTGATCAAAATAATATTTCCTTGCTTGATTGCTAAATGCTGTTATCAATTCCGTGTCATCGTAGGAAATCGTCGATTATATTCAATCGCCACCATCATCATCGCCCGATGACAACCTTCGTGAGTAGCAACCCAGATTTCCGCAAGCTATAAATTATCCGGAAAATCACACAGACGACACAAAACAAGACGGAACCGATTCGCTGCTATACCTCAATATCTGGAAAAATTCGAGCGAGCCCATTCTCCGATTCGACAATGGAGGTCCCTCGCATTGATCTAGCCGTGCCCCATACCTACATCGTATTTGAACCAACGGCAGACCAGGGACAGGCACAGTGGGCTCAACATGGCTGAAAATGAGCGAAAACATTATACACAGTAAGAATCAACTATCGAAATTCATATGTGAGCACTTTTTTGGTAAATTTTACCAGGAAAAAACACTCAAATTTATTCACTAAAGTTACCTAAACTTGAGTGGTTGAGTAGGCAAAGGGCCAACGTGGAAGACTTCCGTCCTAGTAGGCTGCTTGCTTTTGCTGCAATCTGGCTACAATTTATTGATAAATGTCAAAAAATCACAAGATTCAAAATGGCCGATTTTTTGCGAAAATGTGAATGATTGTCCATAACACATAATTCAAAGTCTCAGGCAAACCGGTGAAGGTCAAGTCTTAATTTAATAATTTTTTATCTTATTTGGTCTGAAACTGGTGAGCTGTCAATTTGAATTATAAATTATCTTCAACGAATCCAATTGATTCGAGAAAAAAATGAGAATTATATAAATAGGCAATACGTCTACTAAACACTTTGGGTAAATTTTGCTCATATTAAAAGAATTTTTTAGTTGTTGGGAAGTTTTAGCTTGAACGAAACGATTAGTTTTGACCTGATCAAGGAATCAAAAATATCTCCAAATGACAAAATGACAAGCGATCAACGAACCGAATAATAACGCTATGTCAAAAGTGCAAAGCAATAATGATATAATCTTCTTCCCTCTTTTTCATGACAAGCAGCCCGTGCGACACAACTCACTCGGGGCGGTAGAAGGAAACGAGCAAATTGTTTACAAGCTGCTTCACGAAGTAAAGCCGAACATGATACACGTGTGTTAATGGGAATTTTTTTGTTATGTCTTTTCTCGATTCATATCAAGCTATGTCCTCTTCAGTGTATATTGCAACAAAGCAGGCAAGCAATATATCATTATCCGTCTCACTCGGATCGAGCTATGTTACAGAGCGAGTTTGTCATGGTAGTCGTAGCAACCGTTTTGTTTGTATCGTTGGTTGCTTTATGTGTTTGGATTCGCTGGACCTGATTATAAAAATAAACGATGCTATAGGGGAGATGGCTCTAATGTTGGCCTATGGATCTAGGATTGGGCCCATCGCTAAAAATCTGATATTTAGCAATTTTATCTAAATGAACGCGTCAATTGGGACGGTACTAATGGATATTATTGGTCGCTATTGAAAATTTAGTCGATTGCTGAATTTATGTATGGGCCCGAATTAGGAGCATTTAGGCCGACATTACATTCATTTCCCCTAAGGTATGTTTGCAAATATTATAAATTAACAATATGGTTCACTTCCCGAATTCCCATATGTTTCTGAAAAGACACAACAGTAATACCATAGAGGTAACTCTAAGATCGGAACTCATTTGATCTGTCAAACTTTCATAGCGAATCAAAACAAACATAGCGTGACCGACGCCGGTGGTGAGTGATAAGCGTAAAGCCGTTGGTCCCGACCCATGTGTGTTGAATGGGTGCGATGTCCTACGCAGGCAGGGTGGCCAGATATTTTTTTTCATTATCGGTAGCTTCTCAAAACGTTTATCGGTAGTTATCGGTAGGCCATCTTAAGAAGGTTTTCCCGATACTTGAAACCTTTGTGAGCGAGGGGGGGGGGGACTCTGCTCCAGAAAAATATACTGTCCTTCAGTTATTCTGCTTTAAACTAGTCGAAATCAATATTTATAATTCTAATGCTAGTTCTGACTACACGGAAAACAAAACATTGGTATTGAACATTTTTCAAGATTACAAAAAATCTGTGATTCTCGGTAGGAAAAGTGAAAAATCGGTAGTTTTTAACCCTTCGTCTGTGAATCGGTAGGGATCCCGAAAATCGGTAGGACTAGGTCTGGCCACCCTGTACGCGGGTGTGAGGAGGCTGTCTTCCTGCACTGCATAGTCGATTGCCGTCAATGGATGACAATCGATGACCGTCGGTGATTGGCACTAGATTGCGGAACAAAGACCGACGTTAAATAAAAGAAAGAAGAATAAGAAGAAAAAACATAGTGTAGTGCTAGAATTTCGACTAGAATGGGGTACGTTCATCGATGTACTTGGAACCGATAGGCTGGTCCAGTGTAAGCCAATTTAAAATCGTTAGTTTCCACCGGTTGGTAATACCATAGAGGTTAATACCCTCTACTATCAACTTTAACATGCATTTTACACGCCTATCATGACGTCATTACATTATACTACGTTCAGACTATAGTTGATATCAATAACGTAATATAATATGATATCAAGAAAGCCTTCCAGCTATACACTGGAGTCGCTTTTTACGCGGGTGATACGATTCCGAAATCCGCGTAAAAAAAGACCGTGTAAAAAAAACCGCGTAAAAAGCGACTCTAGTGTATAACGATATACCGCGTAAATTCTGAAATCCGCGTAAAAAAACCAAAATCCGCGTAAAAAAAAACCACGTAAATTCCGAAATCCGCGTAAAAAAGAGCGTGTAAAAAAAACCGCGTAAAAAGCGACTCTAGTGTATAACGATATACCGCGTAAATTCTGAAATCCGCGTAAAAAAAAACAAAATCCGCGTAAAAAAAAACCGCGTGAATTCCGAAACCGCGTAAAAAAAACCGTGTAAAAAAAAACCGCGTAAAAAGCGACTCCAGTGTAGTTTGAATTACTATTAGCTTGAAGGTGAACTAAACAAATAAAAGGAAAGGCAGATTATATCGGTCATCCTTCTTTACATACCACATTGACAACTGTTCAGGGGCGGGATGTGCAGTCAAATCGGCCTACTGAAAATCCATCAATGAGATGTAAATGTGTAAGGCTCATTGAGTTTGTCATCTCTTTCGTTCTCCCCACTGTGTCAACGATTGAAGGAGCGTGACATTAAACTCCGTCATCCATTTAATCAGCCGGAGAACGAAAGAGACGATAAATTTACTGGGCCTCACCTGTTTACGCTCACTGATTTTCCATATATGAATTTTGTTCCAAATATCAACAAACCATCATTGCTTATGGCTTTGTTGTCGTTTGGAACCAGTTATACGAGGTAGGCGACGATTGTTCGTATTTGACAGCAACCTGCCCCCCCAGCAACTGATAGGAAGCAAACTTTCAATACGTCTGGAATCATTAACACAAATTTGGGTAATCGATTTGCATACACGGTAAGAAAAAAATACTCAAAATTAAGTTTAGAAAAACTCAATGTTGGGTTCTATGAGAAAAGTGGCGTTAGTTCAAATTTACTCATCTATTGAGTAATAATAGATGAACTCATATTAAAGTTCATTTTCTGTTAATGTTAAGCTCAAAACGTAATATTTTGCATTATCGATTGATATAGTACTTTCCGTGCATATACATAAAAAAAACTAACGAAGAATGTATGGAAATATTTTTTCAATATATTAAAATTTTAATAAAACACGCTGCGATTCAAAGTAGAAAAGAATTCAATTTTTAGTTTAAAGTACTTCACCGTTGGGTACTTTCAACTTATTTTTGGATGAAAGTCATAGCATCCTGCGCTTCCGTCGA